TACCTGTTGTCTGCAGAACAGAGTCGCACGGAGAAGAGACCCAGCTGAGGAAGTCTCACGGGGCCGGGCTGCCGTTCAACACGTGACACGCAGACACACAAAACGCTTCGTTTACTTATTTCCCTGTGATTCGTCTTGCCATTTTCACAAGGCTCGTCCACCCTGTTGGAGAATGTAAACTTGCCAATTAAAGAAACCCCAGTGGAGCAGGGCCTCACAGCCCAAACACGGCAGAGGAGATGGCGGGTCCCTTTCAGAAACCACCTCAAAAAGAGAGAGTCACGTGTGAAAAATAAGCCACAACCCTCCCTCACTGCATACACGACAATTAACGTAAGAGCGAGGACTACCAAGCTTCTAGAAGAAAACACAGAAGAGATGCTCATGATCTCAGAGTTGTGAAGGATTTCCTAAACAGGACACACACACACACACTATAAAAGAAAAAAACCAAAAAATTGAATTTCACCAAAATTAAAAACCTTTGATTTTCAAGACACTGTGAAGAAAATGAAAAGGGAAGGCACGAACTGAAGAATATATTTACAGATTTACAGTTCATGTGTCTAACGAAGGACTTGTATCTTGAATGTGTAAAGAATCCTTACACCTGGATTGCACAAAGGATTTGAACTGACAATTAACCGAAGAAGAGCTACGTATGGGAAATAAGCACATGCGAAGATGCTCAAAGCCTTCGGTCATTAGTGAAATGTAAATTAAAACCACAGGGGTACACGAGGCCCCCACCAGGAAAGACTGGCCACACCAGGAGGCAAAGTATCCAGCACGTTCACGATGCTCCCCCGTGCTCATGGGCATGCGCAGCGGGCAGTCACTTGGGAAAACAGTTTGGCAGTTTCTTGAACAGTTAAACGTATGCCTACCATATTCCCAGCCATTCTGGTATTTCCCTGAGAGGAATGAAAGCTCATGCCCATAAGAGACTTCTACGCGAATGGTCACGGCAGCTTTGCTTCTAATAGACCAAGAGGGGAAGCAATCCAAACTTCCAACATGGGGAATGGATAAGTGACTGTGGTACGTCCATACAGTGGAATACTACGCAGCAATCAAAAGGAACGGACCCTGGTTACACACAACTGGATGAATTTCAAAATGATTATAAGCGAAAGAAGCCAGACAAAAAACAAATCATACTCTAAGGTTCTGTTTATATAATTTTCCAGAAAATGCAAACTAACCTATAGTGTCAGAAAGCAGATCAGTGGCTGCCTGGGGATGGGGCGGCGGAGGGAGAAATGGCGAAGGGACGTGTGGAAACTCTGGTGATGGAGACGGTCATTAGCTCGACTGGTTTCATGGGTAGACACATATGTCAAAACTCATTAAATAGTATACATCAAATATGCACAGCCTACGAGACGTCACTTACACCTTAATAGAGCTGGGGGCGGGGAATAATCACCCCAACATAACAAGGAGGAAATCTCAATAAATTCCCAAAGCGGAAATAATGAAACAACATTCTCTAATCACTATGCGATCAAACTAAAAATGGATGACAAAATGGAGAGAAAAAGCTACCATCCTGGGCGAGGAAAATTCTTCTAACTCACGAGTCCCAGAAGCAGCCCAAAGCCAAATGCAGACTTAAGACAGGAGGCATGTGAGGAATGCAAGGGGGAGGGCGAACAGAAATGACCGACTCCGCCGGTTACGGATTAACCACATCCTATAGATCTCTGAACGACCTTCTGGAAACTTCTGTCCCACCTACAAGAGAAAGGATCTGTAAAGAGACAGGACTGGTGGTCCAGGAAGTCCTTCCCCCTTGCAGCCCCCACCCGAGTCAGGAGGTGCCCGTAGACCCTCAGACAAAGGAATCGCACCCCTCGCATGGACGCAGCAGAGGTATATAAGCTGTAAGGAATCTAGCTTTCGTGCTGTTGAAAGCCTCACGTGCTCTGCCGGCAATAAATTCTCCTTCCTCTAACGAAGCTGTCTGAGCCTCTGAATTCCTCCGTCAGCTGGTGCTTCCTGCAACAGACTATGTAGAAAGTATAATAATGAAAATACCGTTCAGCTAAGATAGTCCTCAGAGGAAAACCCATAGTCTTAAAGATTTGTATTTAAATAAACAAACTAAAGAAAAGGAGATCAATTATGTGTCCCAAATATAAGGATAGAAAAAGAACAAAATCAACCCACAAAAGTAGAAGGAAAGAATACATATGAAAGTGAAAAGTAACACGCGGCCCCGTCCCGCGGGGCCTCCCTTCCCCCAGGTCCGAGTGGGTGCGGGCCCCGGCGAGGCCACCCCCACCTTCTGGGCTCACCAGGCACCCCTCAGGGCAGCTCCCCCTCTACCCCACCCAAGCGTTCAGCCCTCCCCGCCCGACCCACCCAGGGGAGGGGGAGGGATGAGCACACACCTGGGGGCAGAGATAGTGGAGGGGGATGGGGCTGGAGCTCACAGGGCTTCCAGGCCACCAGAGGACCCTTGTCACATGCTGGCTGAATGAATGGACCACCTGGCGGAGACTGGGGAGGTGAGGGGGCAGACACGGAGGACACTCGCACCCCTCCCCTACCTGCTGCAGCAGCATCCCAAGAGCTCTAAGCAGGCGGGGGCCCGAGCTCCTCCCCCATCCAGTGCTCGGTCAGCCGGTTACGAAAACCAGGAGACAGAGCGGCAAGGTGAGCGTGGGAGCCAGTCTGGACTTCAAACCCCAGCTCTGCCTCTCACCAGCTGTGTGACCTCTCTGAGCCTCAGTGCTCTCAAATACAGGAAGTGTCCCTCCCAGAAGGTGGGTGGGGATCCCCGATAACAGATGCAACGATGCAGCTCGGTGCGGCTACCTTGGTGGTGTGGCAAGGAGGGACTGGCGTTAGTAACCATGCCCCCCTGCCTCCCTCTGATTCCCACAAGCGAACCGGGTACCAGGGCCACCTGCCACCCCTGGGGATTCGGTCTCGAGCCCGAGGGAGAGGCTGCAGCACCAGAGTCAGAGCCAGGGAGGCTGGCCGTGTAGACAGGGCCGCCTCGGGTCCAGTTCCAGCTCGCGCGAGACTCTTCTAATTCCAACGCAGAATGCCTGCCTCTCGGCTCAATGGGCTCTGTCCCGAAGATGACATTTCTATTTTGATTCCATGCGACATTTAATGAAATGGCTTTCGGTCCCCACGCGGCAGTGGCTCGAGTTATGAAACCACAGCCTCTGGATCCCCCGCCCCCAACACGACTGGCGACAACAGTCCCTCCTGTTGCTTCGGGAGCGGCCCCGTGTCTCTGAGGGGAATATGCTGAACCTAAAGATCCGAGGGGCACACACAGCCCTGGGGGCCGATGCCTGCTGCGAGGGCACCTTTGCTCTGTCTGCTGCGGGGACCAGCGCCCCGTGCCCCGGGCGGTAACGATGGCCTCTGCCTCCATGTCCCTGACTCCAATCCAGCACTGTTCCAACTGCAGATCAGAAATGTTCAGGGAGACTGCACGTCAACAGAGAGGGCTGCTAACAGCATTTCTAGAAAAATGAATGAAACGGAACAGACTAGAAAACGGACCGGAATGGCATCAGTGACGGCTGCATCATGACACTTTGGCTGTGAGGGTGAACACGAGGTCTCTGCAAAATGAATGACGGAGTGACGGATGCAGCTCCAGTCCACTGCCCCAGACCCTTCTGACATGCACCTCTGATCACGTCACCCCCAGCTCAAACTCAGTGAGGGTTTGGGGACAGAGTTCGGATCCCACGGTATGGCACTGACTGTCCTTCACGACCTGGCCCTTGTCCATCCTCGTCCCCCACTAGAGACCAGCGTGGTGCAGGCCGAGCAAGTCCCCCTGCGCTCAGTCTACCGAGAGCACGACTAAGCGAGCAGTGTGCGAGGTCGCTGGGGCCACTGCCTCGGTGGTCACGCTCCGCCCACTGACCTCTGAGCTAAGATGACTTCCCGGGTTCTGTAGCAGCAAAGATATGACTATTTCCGGAAGCCTTCGTTCAGAAGGAAGCAGAAGCCCTACAATTTCTCAACAACTTGGCTATTAAAAATAGGAATTCCACCTACACGCCAGAACAGCTTGTTAGGCTCACGAAGGGCCAGAACCGTAAGGTCCCTTGCATGTTTGGGGACGAGGAAGCTGCTGGGCTCGAGAGCTGAAAGCATGAGAAGGTAGCCGCTCCAGCCACAGCCCCAAGTCCCCAGAACTCTCTAGAACCATGGGAATGCCAAATGGTGCTCTGCCCACGGCTTCGTAAAGCTCATTTCCTACCACATTAGGTGAACATCTGGACAAGCACAGGTTCCAAAGAAAACGAGGGAAAAAAATAAATCGTGCATTAGCAAGTGGCTGCGAGCCCTCGTCCCTGACCTTGGCAGAAGGCAAGGAGATGCCGTGGGAGCCGGGTGCTCTCTGTCCTCTCTGAGTCTTTGGGAGGGAGCCTGGCCCAGAGCTTGGGGACGCTGGGGACACTTGGGATCGCTTGTGGAAGGAAGAGCCGGCGTGCCTGAGGATTCCGCCTCCGGTACAGGTCCCGGCCCCCAGAGGCCTGCTGCTCGCAGTTAGGGGACGGTCTGCAGGCCTCGGGAGTGAGCAGCGGTGGCCGGATGGACGTCACATTCAGTTTAGCACCTGCGGCCACTCGCAGGACGGGGCAGGGAGAGCAGGGGGGAAAGCGGGTTGAGGAAGCGAACCCCACTTACCCAGCACTCCTCAGCGGCCAGGGCCCACCTGCTCATTCGCTCACTCACTAAACATTTATCGAGAGAACCCGGAGGGCCATGCCTGTGCCAGACGCTGGCTGAAGACACAGGACAGCGGACCCCATCCCTCACCTCAGGGGACTCACAGTGGCGGCGGGGGGGGGGTGTTGTCAGAAAAGTGACAGACATGTATGATTCTGTACGATGATCCCTTGGAGCAGGCATTGCCAGAGGCCATGGGAGCAAAAGGGACCCCTAATCCAGCCCCTGTGGGTCTGGGGAGGCGCCTAGGAAACATGACCTTGGGGCTGAGACCTGAAAGAGCAGATGAGAGACAGGTGGTAACCCAGGTGAGACGACCCTGGTCTCCACCAGGACGGGGCTGCTTGGAGTCCTGCCTGGGAGCCATCAGCTAGACGGCTGAGGGGCTGAGGAAAAGGGAGGGAAAGGGTCGCCCCCTCCTGGCCGCATGTGGGATAGCAAGTCCCCCGCCCCACTCCCGGATTCCTGACCTAGC